CCCCGCACAGCACAGGGTATCTACCCACAGACCCCCGCACGGCATGGGTATTGCACTGTGTAACAGGTCTTTGGCCTTATTTGGCTCTGCCTTTCATTAGTTTGGCTAAGGCAGACAAGTCAGCTAATTTTACCAGTTTCAGGGTGAGAGAATAAAAATGGTTGACTTCACCAACCCTGAAAGTATAGTGAGCATACCAATTCAATACTTATCTAGGAGTTTTTAAAAACATGGATCAAGCACTATTCCCTAAGATGCCGTGCTTCCTGGGAAGAAACAGAAACAATAGCTGGAATCTCCCCAGCCAATCCCACCCCCGTTCCCGTCTCCACACCTTAGAGGGAAATACTTACTCCTGTGTTTGGGCTGCAGCAGCTTCTTCCCTAGGTACAGAACAACAGCCATGACCACCATGTAGTTTATTATTGCGCCAACACGAGAAGGGTACGCGATGACAAGCAGGCCAAACACGTCAAAGAAGACCATGTTTCCATGTCGGTACTCAGACGAAGACGCCAGCATGTCGGATGTAGCTAGGTATTTAAGAACTGCTAAAATGTTGTCACCTTTTAGTAAGAAAGATAAGAAGGTCTAGTAAACGAGTGGATGGTGACTTGCACACAGCCATGTAAAGCAGAAATAGATCAGGCACAATCGGAAATCCAAGTGCCTGGGAAGAATGTGAGCAGGCACCCTTCCTACCATGCACTGCTCTCCCCGTTTCTTACCAAATTTCCTAGGTAAGGCCCTGCTCCTGCTCTTCTTCCTCTCCACTTAGAAGCTCAGCCCTACCCTCTGTTAGAGCTATTCCCTAAGATGACTGAACAATGCCAAAGCTCTGCTCAGGCCTTCCTTGAGGGATACACTGTAGCCTCGGGAGACCCTGTTCTAAAGGCCAGAATTCAGGGATGAGATAGAAAAAAGCCTCTTGTGAAGCTGGTCAGCACAGAACAAGTTGTTAAAGCATGTAAAGAAGTATTAGGAAGGGGGGCAAAGGCAGAATGACTGTGCATTCAAGGCCAGCCCAGGTCACACAGCAGGTTCAAAGCTAGCCTGAGCTATACAGCAAGACAAAAATAAGCCAAAACCAGTCTTTTCTAAAAAGGGCTGGAGAGGTGGTTCTGGGACCTGTGAAACGGTGCTTTCCTAGAATTCATGCACAAGGCCTGGGTTTGGTCCCCAGGACTGCAGGGTGACAAACCAGAACAATAACCATAAAAAGCACATGTAGTCAGAGGGCAGGAGGGTGACAACTTCCAGGCCAGCCTGGCCTACATAGAGAAATCCTACCTCAAAACAACAACAACAACAAAAATTAAAAATTTTAAACCTTAAAAGGTGAGCCAGGTGTGGTAATGTAGGCCTGTGATCCCAGCATCTAGAAGCAGAGGCCGGAAGCTGACAAGTACTAAGCAGGTGGGCTACACAGTAAGTAATAATGACAGGACCTAGCTAAAAAAAGAGCCTGTCCAGATTGACAGGACTATGTCCATGAAGAGGGGAAGGCGCTC